TTTGTTGGGTTGTTATGTATATTTTTGTCAAAATTTGTCCGGTAAATCTCCATATTTATTAGTACTGTAGGGTCTCAGCCCTAAAAGTTATTATAGTCAAATGAAGTTTGATTGTTATTAGGGTCCGAGGACCCCTACTTGCAAAGCAAGCAGGGGTCCTTGCTGCAGGGTCCTTTCTTTATTCCTATTATTATTTGCTTGACGCACACAAAACCCTTAATTAGACCCTCTAAACACGCTCAAAATTGGCACACACCTCCAAATTGGTGAAAAATTTGATAAAATGAAAAAACAAGACAAGAAAAGCTCTTTACCATGATATTGATATTTACATGATATTGTGATGCGTGTTGAAGTATTCTCAATGTCTCGTACAGAAAGTCTATGTTTGGGAACATTCAGGACGAAAAAGCCTCTTATGTTGTTAAATTTCAACATGAACGCAACATGGAGGAAGCTTGTGACTTTGTACATATAATAACTGTATCTAGACTCCTCTGCACACCAGGTAGCCTATGAATGAACCCGCATCACCGTTTTGTCATATCAAAATAGCAAACAACTAAAACTTTGGTTTGCCACACATCACATTCTCCTGNGGACGAAGAGGCTCAGCAGGAAGCTCCTCGGCCAGCAGGCGGCTCAGCTCCAGCTGAGCATCTGCCCACAGCTGGTTGAACATCCTGCAACAGGAGAGTTGGATCGCTGCCCTGTGAGTTCATGCAGGTCACAGCTTCAGCGTACAATAATCAGGCTTCGTGGCATTTAGACATGTATTTAATAAAACCATTAAATAGGAATTTCATAGACGAAACTCATCTTTTCCTGTTAGCTTACTGCAAATACAACACGTTGTTCATTTCAACCAAACAGTTTGTTCCATCTTCAGATCATTCCGACTACAGAACCTCTAGAACCACGGAGGTGCTGTTTCAACTGTTGGCTGAACGGCCTTGACTCACAACAGAGCGATAAGTGGACCCAGTGTTAAAGCTGACAGCAACAACATTTTGCAAGAGTTTATAGACGTTTGTGTTTTTTCAACAGGCGTCTCCACAGTCACCTACAACATATATATATATATATATATATATATATATATATATATACAGTCTGTATTGCCGCTGGAACAGCTGGTTGCTGACTGAACATCGCCAGTTGATCTGAAACAAGCTGGGACACAACAACATCCTCCTCACTTTCTAAAGCTCCGTTAAGGAGCCGGTAACGGATCCCGGCCCGGTACCGCAGGGCCGGCCCTGACCGGGTACCGTCTCTACCCGTCCGAGCCTTTAAACGGACTTTACCTTGACCAGTCTACCGTTTCCAGGTCTGCTTCCGGTCGGTGTTGACGCACAACAACAATAAAAAGGACTTAAACTCACCTCTGCGACATTTTCAGAGTTTCCTGAAGCTTCAGCCGAACTTAGACGAGCTGCGGTTTACACGCTGTCACCATGGCGACAGTTGCCATGGAGACAGTCTGCCCTTCAGTTCGGAATCGTGAGGTTCGGTCCAAATGAGACCTTCAGGGGAACAGAAAACACGCAGCTTTTTGTTTCCCATAGTTCAACAGCAGCTTGAGCGTGTTTCTTCACTTTCACACGTTTCTCGGTCAGATGAGCTGAAACGCGTCCTTCTGCTCAGAGAGGCTGAAAAACGTCCTGAACACAGCAGCTGAGTGACCAGCAGGTGGCGCCTCCTGACTCCTGACAGATGAAGA